TTTTTTTTCTTCTTCTTCTTTTTCTTCTTCTTTTTCTTCTTCTTCTTCTTCTTCGGTCCAAGGTCTGTTGGATTCTGAGTCCATGCGGACCTTCTGCCACGTGGCGGGTACGGCGGGAATGTTCGATGGCCGAGTCGGCCAATGGCTAAAAAAATGTCACTTCTCCATCGTACTTGAGAATAATAAGATTTTTTTTTTTTTTTTTTCCTTCTTCTTCTTTTTCTTCTTCTTCGGTCCAAGGTCTGTCGTTTTTTTGAGTCCATGCGGACCTTCTGCCATGTGACGGTTTTTGAGTCCATGCGGACGTTCTGCTACGTGGCGTGTACGACGGGACTTCGACAACCGACTCGAGTAATGGTGGTGAACGATGAAGATGACGATGATGATGATGGTCGTTGGGTAGATAATGATGATGATGATGATAATGATGAAGATAATACGTGATGATGATGACAATACATAATACATGATCACGACAGATGATGATTATGATTATTGATGATTATGATCTGGATGATGGATTATGGTGACGATGATGATGATGAAAATACTTAATAAATGATTCTGGTTATAGATAATAATGATAGAACTAGTCCATAATCAAAATGGGTTATCCAGTTGCTTACGATTAGATGATTGAACATGACAGGGTTTCTTCAAATCACTACTTTTTCGTTTTTCCATTCATAAGTCTTGATGATGTGGCGAATCGTCGTACTTTCCTCCTCTCCCCTTCCCCCTCCACTCTTGGTTTGTTTGTTTTCCCGGCAGAGGGATCGAGCGAACTCTTTCTTATCGGCTCGTTATTTTTTTCTTACCAATGTAGTCATCCGGGATTTGCTCTTTATTGGTTTTTTGCTTACCGATCTAGTACTACGGAATGTACTCGTCCTCTTCGTCGTGGTTTTTTTTTTTATATATAATCCGGGAGGGTGAAAATAACTGATTGGATATCACGATATATGGTGACGTCAGCTACCCATCTTCTAGCGAACGCAACATACCCCTATTACGAATGTATCAGGCCATAAAGGTAGCTTGTATACATTCATAATGCGGGTACGTTGTGTTCAGGTTAGTCTGGTAATGGATAAGTTGGCGGATTAAACTCAACTGTGCCTATCCATGTTAGATTAACTCTTTTTTTTTTTTTTTTTTTTAGAAGCTCCATGTTGTTTTCTCTTTTTCGTACTTTGATAATGATAATGATGATGAGGAAAGCTTGTGTATGATTCATTCTTGACCCTTGCACAATGCACCGTGATTAGGGACGAATGAAAAAACCACTTTGACGGTGGCTGACCCACCAAGTGTGGTGCTCTGCCTGGGACAGAGATGGAGATGGAGGATGAAGGGGGAGCGAGAAGGCACAACGCAACTCCCACTCGAGACTCCAACGCACGTACTCCAAAATGTGCGAATGTAGAATGATCCGTAAAACAGCGGACTAACTGGATTGGACTGGACTGGCTGGTACCGACAGAGGTACCGGCCTAGACTGAACTACCCTGAATACAATACAGGCCTGTGAGAACAGGCCAAGGGGCTGGTCTCACAGGCCAACCAGAGGTCCGCTACACGATCCTCGGCCTGTGATGGATCGCCTAGATACAAGCACGCTTCCGCCAAGAAGCGGAACTCTACCAAGAAAAAAAAAAACCGAGTAGTCTAGGATGCGGAGCAAGCTCCATGCTGAGTCCATGCGATGCAACCTAGGATAGAAAATGTCACGAAAACAACAATGTAGCAACTAACAGCCTAAGTGAAAGCAGAAGCAGCTAACTAGCATACATGTCCTAGGAAAGCAGAAAGTAAAGACAACTAAACCCTAGAATGTTGGAGACGGTAGCCTTAGTCTGGAAACAACTGACTAGTGTATAAGTCCGAAGAACAGCAAAAGCAAAAATAACTAAATCCTAGAAATGTTAGACTGATAGCAACAACAACAACAAGACAACCATATGTCACAGGAGGAGTGTGTCGCAAACCAAAGGGTAGGATGGTCTCTGAGGGTGGCGAATGTAGCCTAGGGGTCGATAACTCCTAAGGGCATCCACACAAAATGACAGGGAGACACGTGTCATCAGGCTCAATGAGGGTAGGGAACTGGGAGCGAACAAAACCAATGACCCTAGCAAATAGACCATCAGGGCGGGTAATGCTCGACCAAAGGGGTGACCGCTATGGAGGGTCGACCATGCAAGGGAACAAGGAAGCCTGGTATACTGGGCGCACCTAGATGAAGCATGCAAGGCTGCCTAACTAGGGCGTGAGGGCCGGCAGAGGGTAGAAGAGTGATGGGTAAGAGAATCATGCAAATGACTCCTAAGGTGAGGGAAGTCGGAGCTAGATCCGTAAGCTGGGAAGCTAAGGCAACGCTATGACCCCGATGCCTATGCGTATACCAAGGGAGAGCCCAACTCAGAGGAACCTGGTGAAGGGAGACCATTATGCGACACAACCAGGGTACTGTTCAGGGTAAAGTGGAAAGAGAGTGATGACATCTGAAGTTGGCAAAGCTGATTGTGATGAAGTCCATGAAGCTGCCGATGACGTCCATGATGAGAAGTCTGGAATGCAGTCGAGGAAGAGCCACAACGTCGACGAGTTGAAGTGGCAAAACTGGAGTGGATGGAGTACTGAGAAGTCAAAGACGTGGGAAGATAAGTCAGAGTCAATCGTCGTATCGAGCAGGACGACGATGAGTGCGTTGTGGACGCTCAGAAGCATCCGGCTGCTGCTGAAGGTCTGCCTCAGATGGAGCAGGCTCGACTTTAAGCGGTCTCCTCAACCGAGGGAGACGGAGGAGGGTAAGTGGGTTGAGGAGGAGCAGTCAACCCAGCACGACGAGCACAGTCATAGGCACGCACCAACATGCGAGCGTGCTGCATGGGCTCGAGGGGTTCCCAAGTAGCCTCCTCATCAGGGTAACCCTTCCAACGTACGAGATACTCGACGTGAGGAGGGTTGTCATCAGTGACTCGACGACCAATGATGTCTGAAACGACGAACTCCTCGTGGCTGTCCACCATGATGGGTGGAGGGCGCTCGTATGGTCGTCCGGCGAAACGCTCAGAAGGTCTACGGTAAGGATGCAGTAACGAGATGTGGTACACATCGTGCACACGAGCCCGGCGTAGATAGTCGGGCAGCTTCACACAGAACCTGACCGGGCTAGAAGCCATATCAGAACCGACGACCTGGAGAATGCGGCATGGGTCAAAGAAGCGACGCCGAAACTTGCGAAGCGTGTCTGCTTCGAGCTGTAAGTGGCAGGCGTCGATAAACACATCATCACCGACTTTGAATGGATGATCCATCCTCGATCAGCTCGCATGTGCTGCCATGCGAGTCTGGGAAGAGGCTATGTGCTCATGTGCGGTCTTCATGATCGACGTCATGTGTGCAACCCAATCATCCAGCGTGGGACAAGTCGTGTCGGGGTGCATCTGTGACGGTCGAAGGAAGTCCGCGGGAACACGAGGGTGATAGCCAAGGTCGCCATAGTAAGGCGACATCCCCGTGGCTAGCGAGACGTCGTGGTTGTAGGCTATCTCCGCGTAGGCAAGATGGAGATCCCACTGCTGGTCGTCACGAATAATCTTTCGGAGAATATCTCTGAGAGTCATGTTTGTGACCTCGGTCTGACAATTAGTCTGGGGATGGTAAGACGAGGAGAAGTGGAGGTGGGTGCTGTAAACCTTGTGGAGCCGTCGCCATAACCGATTGGTAAAGCGCGGGTCACGGTCAGATATGATGCTCAGAGGTAAGTCGTGGTCACGTACGACTCGGTCAAACACGATGTCGGCGAGCTCACGTGCACTGATGGCATAGCGGCACGGAACAAAGTGTGCACGCTTCATGAAGCAGTCGATGACGACCAGGATAGCATCATGACTGCGGGGGGTCGGAGGGCGAAGAGGACCGATAAAGTCCATCAAGATGGACTGCCAACGACCCTCAGGGATAGGAAGAGGCTGGATCAAACCATAAGGCAAGTGATTCGCATTGTTCACCTCCTGACACGTGGGACACTCTGCGACGTAGTCCTTCACAAAGTCCTTGCGCTTCGGCCAGACGTACAGGCGGCTCACACGAGCCAACGTCTTGTGGAAGCCCATATGACCGGCGGTTGCCTGGTCATGGAACTCTGCTACTGCCCGGACACATAGCTGTCCAGTGGAGGGAACGCAAATATGGGGCTCTCTGATGCCATATGAACCGTGTCAGTACACAAGACCGTTGTCCCCGAGAGAGTAGTTCGGGATGGTCTTGCCACTCCGAAGGGTTGCATGGATGTCGCGATAGTCGGGGCAGTGGCGGTACTGAGTGCGAAACTCGTCGATCACTGAGTGGCGGACGGTGGTGACCGAGATGAAAGCGAGTTGGATCTGCTCCTGATCGTGGTCAGGGCGCCGGGATAAAGCATCTGCGACCCGATTAGTCTCACCCTTGATGAGCTCAGTGGTGAAACTAAACTCGGATAGGTCGCGCCACCAGCGAGCCTGTCGAGGAGTGAGCTTCGGTTTTGTCAGAAAAGCCTGGACAACAGAGTTGTCCGTGCGCACTGTGAATGGTGCCCCGTGCAGGTAGTGACGCTAGTGTCGAGCGACATAAACTATTGCGAGAACCTCACGTTCATCAGCAGTGTAGTTTATCTCGGCGGGGAGAAGCTGACCGGAGTAGAAGGTTATCAGACAGTCATTTGAGTGAGACTCGACAATGCCGTCCTCGACGATGGTAGGAGAATAGTCAATAGAAGGCTCGTCAGTAGCTAGACGAGTAGGCGTCAGGCGGGAGGCAGTGGTAGGGGTAGGGGGTGGGAAGCGAGGGATACGAGGATGAGAGGAATCAGGAGAGGAGTGGAAAATATGAGAAAGCACTGCTCCTTCAACAAAGTCTGACGCATTGGTGGTAAGGATAAAAGAGTGATCAAAATCGGGTAGGTGAAGAACCGGTGCACATGTCACCGCCTTCTTGAGGGCGCGGAAGGCGTCCTCGTGGAGGGGTGTCCAAGGGTGGAGGTAAGAACGTAGGAATACCTAGCGTATCCCTGGATGAAATTACTATAGTAGCTAGTGAGGCCTGGGAAGCTGCGAAGCTGCTTGGCGGACATGGGAACGGGCCACTCTGCAATAGCAGTGATCTTCGCGTCGTCCATGTGGAGACCCTGGTCAGACACGTAGTGTCCTAAGAAATTCACTTAGTGCTGGGCAAAGCGACACTTGCTCAGCTTGGCGTAGAAGCTATGTCTGTGCAAGCGATTAAGGACGTCACGGAGGTGTCTGGGATGCTCCTCAAGGGTACGACTGTAGATCATGACATCGTCGAGGCAGATGAGAACGTACTGCTCCAGGATGTCCCTGAAGATATCGTTCATCGCCCTCTGGAAGGTAGCGGGTGCGTTGGTGAGGCCGAATGGCATCATTGTAAACTCGTAGTGGCCGAAGCGCGATCGGAGCGCTGTCTTCGGCTGGTCCGCTGCAGCGACGCGGATCTGATGGTAACCGCTATGAAGATCAACCTTCGTAAAGAATCGGTTGCCTGCTAGGCGGTCGAACAACTCATCGGAACGAGGCATGGGGAAGTTGTTCTTAACCGTGTAGCGGTTGAGACTGTGATAGTCGATGCAGAGACGGAGAGTTTCATCCGCTTTGCGAGCAAAGAGGACGGGTGCTCCCCACGGAGATTTGCTTGGTTTAATGAGACCCAGTCTCAGGAGCTCCTCAAGCTGACGCTTGAGTTCGGTGGCCTCGGGGATCGGGAGTTTGTAGGGTGTCTGGTGGTGAACACGATAGTCAGGCACGAGATTGATAGAATGCTCGACTTCGCGCATCAGTGGGATGTCGGCGTACGAGAACGACGATGGGAACACGTCGTGGTACTCTCAAATGAGGTCATGAACTGTGGGCTCCAGGTCGGCCGTATAGCATGCGAGTTCCTCAGCGTCAGCGTCAACCCACGACGGCGGGGTGGACTCGACGAACGGTGGGGGAAGGGAAGTAGAGATGAGAGTCATGGAGATAGAAGGAGGATTTGGCTCCAGGAAGATAAGCTCGACGTCGGGACAGGGTGGATCACAGTGCAAGAGGTCCGTAACGTTCACCGTAAAGAAGGTGACGTCGTCCTGTCGGATGAAGTGAGCGAACTGCCGAGGCGAGGTGACGGTGATAGTAGGAGATGGTGCGGGCACGGAAGGCTCAGGGGGAGGAGGATCGGGGCGTGGTGTCGCAGTGGTACCTATGAAAGGTACGTGATACGTCTGTTCACACTTCGTTTTGAGAATGAGAGTGTTGGTCGCCCAATCGGCCTCGGTGCTGCGACACCGACGAGATCACGGAGTACCGAGAATGAAACCGTACCCTGTCTCCATCACATCGAAATGTGAAGAGGAGCGGTGATGACGAGAAGTCGAGGGACGATCAGTCGGCTCGAGAGTAAGGAAGAAAGGGAGGTCAGTGACCGTCTGATCGGCGAAGCAGTGGGTCTTGTCATCCCCTAGGGCGACGAAGATGAGAGTCGGAGACCCTGTCGTGGGTAAGCGGGCTTCTTTCACCACATATGGGTGAATGAAGTCGCCCTGAGAACCGGAATCCCACAGCGCTGGGTACACCCTTGTTGAGGCTCCCAGTCGTACTAGAATGATCGGGTGGGTGCGATCAGGGTCAGATAGGATGGTGAGAAGGCGACGTAGTACAGCGACATGGAGAGTGAGTTACTCCTGACGAGCCTGGAGCATGCTCAAGTCCAGAAGAGAGGACACAATGTCCTCGCGAGTCGCAAGCTGCTCGCTGCAACGGGCTGAGCGAATGGCTCAACGCGTCGGTAGTCGTGGTGGGGTAGGAGGGGAGACGGTGGTCTGCGGAGGTGCAAACGGTACTGTGACAGAGGGTTGAATACACTCTGTCGGGTCCTGCGATACCTCAGCTCCAGTAGTGAGAGGAGCGAACCGTGACGGAGATGTCGGGAAGCCAACTACTGAGGAGGGTGCAGGTGTACACTACACCGTGGTTAGGAGGCACTGCGGGGATGCGAGGTGCCGGGGGGGAACTGAGCACGACTCTGGCGAGAGAGCTCAGCGTAGTGGTGGTCGAGCGCAGCGGTGTAAGGGCACCGCGAGGACGTATGACCGTCCTGGCGGCAGCGCAAACACCCACGCCGGCCCAAAATGGCCGCGCGCTCCTCAGCAGAAAGGACACCGCAAGGAGGGACAAAGCCCTGAGGGAGGTCCTACTGAGGGACCCCGGGGGACGACGCGCCAGCGTGACCAGAGCGGCTGCGTGCCCGGGAGAGGGTGGAGAGGATGAGTTGGAGGTGCTCGACCATAGGGAGAGTAGAGTCCTCCAGGTGGTAGTGGACGGCCTCGCCGAGGTCGAGGTCGTCGCTATGGTCACCCTCAGGCGATAGCGGGGCAACAACATCCTGCTCACCATACTCAAGCGCGCTGAAGCGGCGCGAGAAGTGGCGGCCCTGCTGCGCGGAACGGTGGGGGGTGGTCGCGGAAAGGGGAGCGGCGCTGGGAAGTGTCGTGAGCAAAGGAGGGGGTGTAGCCAGTACGCTGAGGCTGGGAGGAGGAAGCGGGGTGAAGGCGGGCCCGCATCCGCTGATGGGTTTTGGCGGCCTCATAGGCCTGCAGGGCCGATGTGAACTCGTACCGCCATATTTCGGAGTGGTACTCAAGGGGAAGGTTGGCCAAGAAAAGGTCGATAAGGGCAGCCTCGGGGAGGAACGTCACATCACAAATGAGGCGGGCGTCCTGAAAGGCCTGGATGTGGCGGTCCAGGCCGGCAGCGCCACCAGAGTCAGACCAGCGTGTGCTGACGACAGCTCGAAGGCGTCAGTGACGTCATGTCGGGCTCCGAGGCGATCCTTGAGGAACGCCTGAAAATCCATGAAGATCGGGGTCCGACCCTCACAAAGGGAGTGCGCGTAAAAATCCTCCCCAGCGTCGAAAGGACCGCCCCACAGGCGCGTGGAAAGGTGAGTCACCCACGTGTCGGGTGGGGCGTCCATGAGCTGGAGCGTGCGGGTGGCAGACTGCAGCCACCGAGACACGCGTATCCCCGTACCGCCGTACAAGGCAATGTCTGTCAAGTGGATGAGTGGTGCACCACCGTTTTGGCAGCGAGGGGATTGAGGAGCAGAGCCCTGTGCTACGGTTGAGTAAGTCGGCGCATATCCTGGAGAAAGGGGCGCATTTGACTGTACGCCGGGGCCACATGGGGGGGCGGCGGGGGCAACAACGGTAGGCTGCGAGGGAGCTGCGGTGGAAGAGGCGCAACAACCGAGGGAATAGGAAGAAGAAAGGATGGGGCTGGATAGGGTGCAGGGCGAAGGAAGCGAGCCTACATGGAAGGAAGAGTAGAGGAAGAAGGGGGTGCCCTCGAAGGCGTGGCCACCTGTGAGGGTAGGGGTGGCTGAAGGCGTAAGCGGGCGAGGTCGGCCCGGGTCTGGGCAAGCTCGTCCTCGAGACGTCGAACGTAGATCGAGCGAGGAGTGGCAGGAGGAAACAACAAAAAAACAGCGAAAAACCCCACTGTCGGGTGTTTGCTGTTTTCCCTGCTGTGTGATGTGGTGGCCCTGGCGGGTGGGAGCGGGGAGCGTTCCCGCTCTGATACCAAGTGGGACGGACCCACCAGGTGTGGTGCTTCGCCTCGGCCAGAGATGGAGATGGAGGATGAAGGGGGAGCGAGATGGCACATCGCAACTCCCACGCGAGACTCCAACACACGTACTCCAAGATGTGCGAATGTAGAATGATCCAGAAAACAGACAACAGTTGGGGTATACCTTAGCAGACTGACTGGACTGGACCGGACTGGCTGGCACCGACAGAGGTACCGGCCTAGACTGGACTACCCCGAATACAACACAGGCCTGTGAGAACAGGCCAAGGGGCTCAGGGGCTGGTCTCACAGGCCAACCAGAGGTCTGCTACATTGACAGCCGGATTCAATCGTGCAATCGAAGGTTGTGATCAGGTGATGCTTTTGGACCCTACCATTTTCCCCCGAACACATGCACGCTGATTACAAATGTGTATACAAGTTATCTTTCCTGTCGTTTACAGTCCAGACGAAGGTGCGTCACGCTCGGGGGAACACTGGTAGGTCAGCAGACGCAATGGCTTGACATAAAATCTCCCTTTTCCGTTTGTAAGGGCGTATTGAAACTTGTCTGAATCTGCCAGTAATCTCGATTATATGCGGATTTTCCATCCTGCCACGTGGCAGAGTAATCGTAGTCAATGATTGTAGATAGGGTAGATTCAGACTCCGAGAAACATAGGAAAGAAAATCCACATCTAATAAGGATTACGGTCGGATTCAGACCAAGATTCAATACTCTGAAAAACACCGGATTGCAAATCCACATCTAATCGAGATTACGGGAAGATTCAAAGTAGTTTCAATTTGTTGGGCTCCCGAAAGAGTAAGTTCAATACTCCTAAAAACACCGGATTGCCACGTGGCTATTACGACGGGAATGTTCGACACCGGACTCGGCTAATGGCTAAAAAAATGCCACTTCTCCATTGGACTGAATAATATTAAGATATTTTGAATCTTCTTCTTCTTTTTCTTCTTTTTCTTCTTTTTCTTTTTCTTTTTCTTCTTCTTCTTCTTCTTTTCTTCTTCTTCTTCTCTGGTCCAAGGTCCGTCGCTTTCTTAGTCCATGCAGACCTTCTGCCACCGTTGCCATTGTTGCGACGGGACTGGTTGACCTATGTGTGCGTGTGTGTGTGTGTGTGTGTGTGTGTGTGTGTGTGTGTGTGTGTTTGTGTGTGTCTGTGTGAAAAGGTTGTGTGTAATTCGTGGTCGATCGAGACGTTTCAGAAAAAGTTTGTCTTATAAAAATATAACGCCGTGCACAAAAAAAGATAAGGAAAAACAAAATCCACACGGCGGAACCGGTTTTGATTTTTTTTGCCATCCGTGCGCTTCTACCAACTCTTTGATTTACTGAACTAATAGTTGTTACTGTATCACACAAACAAACATTTCGTTCCAATTTTAACGTACTTTTTGAAAGGGTGAACAAAATTCCGACACACTATGGTAGACATTGAAATATTCGGGGGCGATTTCATTTATGAGTATATTTTGAGATGGTGATATTTCGCTTTTTTCTTGAATGAGATTGCAACACAGCGCATCAGCAGCCCCTTCGATTCTTTCGTAAACGAACACATACACGATTTCCTTGCGAAAAATACTGCCCCAGCTGCTATGGCAAATCTTCAAACCGCTGCTCACTCATACAACACACTCCAACCTCCCCCCTTGTTGCGACTTCATGATTGTTTCAACATCTGACTGTAAAGATCGCAATAGGTAAGCAACACCCCTTTATATTATACACATTTATCAGCTTCCCCCACAGATGGAGCTCCCTATCGACGTAATCCTCCCAGCTCCAACCCAAGACCCCGGCAACACACCAACACAAAATGTTTCCCGTAACGACACAAAAAACGAATTCGAAATAACCGTCATAGCCACGCATGCAACGACTTGGCTCCATAGTCTCGGTAACGTAGGCTGTTCCTCCGACATCACACTCACTCCCCGATCAGGGTGCCTCGATCCACTAGGGACCATCCTCCATCATCATTGATTACTGCACCACTCCTCTCCCCGCGCGGCGCGCGCAGGAGCCTTTTTTTACAAAATTGAACCTCTATAACATATACTCTACTACACAGAAGATTCCCCTCCCTCCTAAGTGGCGCTATTGTTGCCGTCGTCGTCATTGTCGCTCCCCGCATCGTCGTCGGTCGTCGCTGGTGAATATAGGTATCCATTGGCAGGAGGGGGATTGGACCAGGCATCAACGTGACCGTACGCGGTTGCGATCGCCGCCTATCCTTGCGGACCGTGGCTCACTCCCTATCCGCCATTCACCTGAGCCGGCCCGACCGTGTTTGTGCCCCAGCCATCACTTGGAACACCCTGGGGCGGCACCGTCCCCTGTGCGGCTGTCGGCATGGCCGATGACGACGACGGGTCCATCGTGGCACTTGGAACACCATGCGCGGGGACCCTGCCGCCGACCTGCCCGGCCGTCCCGGTTATTGGGGGGTTGCTGCTGTTCCCGCCCTCCAACATTGGACCTCACCCCCTGACTCTCTCTCTCTCTGTCTCTCTCTCTCTCTCTCTCTCTCTCTCTCTCTCTCTC